AGTTGCCTTTACAAGTTGCTGTTGATCCTCCGCTCACCATTTTACATATATATATATAGTTGCCGACTGTCATTTGCAGGGCTCAAGTCCCAGGTTAGTCTAGCTAAGTTAGAGCCCCAGAGCCAGAGCTTGTAGGTTTGCTTTCTTTTTTGGCAATCATTGGATGTCTATTGCTATTTGATTGATATGGGCCAGAATGCAGGAGTTTGTGCAGGGCTGGCCTGTCTGAATGTGAGCATGTGTGTGCCCTTTAATCAAGTGGAATTGGCATTGGTTTTGCATGGTTTTGCTAGGTGCTTATTCTTACTTGACACGCCGTGCAGGTCGCACACTCATGGAAATAGAAACGGAACTTGTCATTTGCAAATCGCAACAACTCAGAGTTGTAAATACAAAACAGTTCTCGATATCCGCAGGCGTACCAGCAGTATTTGATGTGACATTGATAATACCTCTAATGAACCAAAGTTTCTCAAAAAAATCTAGGAACCAAATCATTGCGAGCGCTTCTTCGAGGAAGCTTAACGTGGCCAGCGTGAGCAATCCTGCCTGTTGGGAGTGAACTAGTCGCCGTAGGGACGGGGGGAGCGGGCTCTAAAAAGAGATCCAAAGCATTCGCAGAATGAATCCGAGGACTCAAGCGGCCTGAGATATTCTCGGACTTCCTCATCAGTACGAAGCGCAAAGCGCCGGTTTCGCGCGCTGCCACGCTCGATGCCGTCGACCAAATATGGTGGAGTTGGAATCATGAACCACATCCTGGCGCGACGCTGCAAAACTTTGGAGGCAAAAGGGCAACGCCTTTGGTGAAGTTCGATACTTTAATTACACATTATATATTAATATATATATATATTATGTTTATCTGAATGTGAAGAAATTTCCAGTGAAGCTTCGGTGTACTGCGTTGGCAAGTGCTAAAAAATGCTCACGTCAATCTAGAGATTCTTTTGCTTGCAAGTCAGCCGACAAAAACATTGCACGTAGTTTGGAGTTTCAAGTCTGCAGCTCATGGCCAAGTCTCCAACAACTTTCTTTCTGCCCGTTGGAAATCTCTCTCATCGCCCTGCACCGTAAGTCACACCAAATCGAAAACTCTTGCAAAGGAAAGCCAGTGAGATTGTGGAGCCTTCCCCAGATACCACTCGCAAGTTTTATGGATGGATCTGTCATACAACTGTTTCCTAGCTTCTGCCACTGGGTCTGATATGTCCTTCAGAGCCTTCATGGCAGCGTTTGCAAAAGGGACTTCTAGGTGTTCAACGGGAAGGAAGAACACTTACCTTTTTTATGGAGGTCCTTTGGGCTGCAATGAAGGTGAGTTCGAGATACCAAACAGGAAACTCACAATGCGAAGACACGATGAAACTGTTGGGAATGCCAAACAGTGATCAATGTACTAGCGGTGGCCTACACCCTAGTAGCGATGGCCTCCACCCTAATAGCGATAGCCTCCACCCTAATAGCGATAGCCTCCACCCTAATAGCGATAGCCTCCACCCTAATCTAGCGATGGCCCCCACCCCGATAGCGACCTCCACCCTAATAGCGATGGCCTCCACCCTAGTAGCGATGGCCTCCACCCTAGTAGCAATGGCTTCCAACCTAATAGCGATGGCCTCCAACCTAATATCGATGGCCTCCAACTTACTAGCGAGGGAATGCGAGGGACTCCACCCTAGAAGCGATGGCCTCCAGCCTAATAGCGCGGAGGCCGCCACGCTAATGGCGATGGCCTCCCTCCAAATAACTTCCAAGTAAGGCTATCGCGGCTAACTGAGTCCGTCGTGGCCTGGCATAGGTCGATTTCTGCGGCACTGTAAAGCGCCGCAAGCCACTCTCCCCGCTCACGCGCCGCTGGGGGGTCGGCGTGGCCGTCAAGTCTGCCTCAGTGTATTTCTGTCGTAGGTGAAAGTGATTGTTTAAACCTTGTTCAAATCGCCATCGCTATTATGTTGGAGGCCTTTGCTTCTAGGTGGTGTATGTATAAAATGATTCTTTAAGCCGGCCAAAGTCGATGGTTGTGAGCTGGGCTGTGAGGGCTGTCAGTAAGTGATTGTGATGTCACACTGGACTGAGAAGTCAAAATCATCAGTCCATGATTGATCTGTTGATCTATTGAACATAGATCGTCTGACACACCCACATAAAAGAATGCGCTCCGTAGAAAGTTTATGCAAACAGATGCCTGAGAAGACCTAAAAAATACCTCAAGAGATTACATGTCCCTAGTTATGAATCTCTTGGCTCGCCTTTAACGCTTCTCTCCAAGCCACGAAAGCATTACCTTTGGCTTTCATTGCCTGCACCAGCAGATTTAACCACCTCTACGGTGGGACCCAAAACATGATGTGAAATGAGTTGTAAGGCAGACTATGAATAGTGTGCAAAGTAGAGTTCACTATCATGAGACTCTGTACAAGGTGCATTTAATCAAATCACAATCAACTGATTTTTTTTCGACTGGACGTGTCTGTGTGGTTCTCCGATGCCTTCTCTGGCTGCCATCCCAAAGCCTGAGATTGCAAGAACACATCCTCACCGCCAATTGGTCTCACCGAGATAAGACCCAAGAGTTTATGCACACCGCCAATGACACCATGACATGGGAACGTTGCCAACCACTTACCATTGAGAAACAAAATAGATAAGTTATATAATAACCCTTTCACTGGAGAAGACACGCAAAAAAAAGTCTTGAACGGCCCAAGTGACGTAGAAAGCTCGTGCTGCAAGCCGCGGTGGCAGGCATTGTCCCGTCCTGAGCAAGGACTGGTTGGCCCAATGCAGCACTTGGAAGCAAAGATCTGTGAACAATTTGCATGTGTCTAATCAAATGCATCTTGGAAGAGAAGGTTCGGAACCTGCATTACTCTAGTAGCAAGCTACTAGTAATTAACAAGGTGCATCGCTACTAGTAACAAGGGCATTACTGCCAGTAGCAAGAAGCTACTAGTAACAAATCCAGTGTCCATCCTTTATTGAGATCACTCAAAGCTATCAAGTCTCCAAGACTGGCAACAAATCATGCTCCAAAACCGCTCATCTATATACACATGGCTAGCGCAGAGTCTACATGGTGCTTTGCCTGCTTGTGTTTGGGGTTCACATGTCCTTTCGGTCTGGGATAGTCTGGGCCTTTCGGTCATGCTAGGCTGGTCCCCGTGGTCCATGTCGGTGTGTACTTTGATGGCTTAGAGGGAAGTCCACTATTGCTTCTGAGCCAAGAGCCACAAGGAGGCACTATGCACATCGCAAATGAGTGTAAAACAACAACGTTAAACATATATCATATCACCTAAGTTCCTGTAGCCACTTTAGCCACACTACCCAATCACACCTTGTACAAACCTCCAATGGAATGAAGTCTGCGCCAATGTCTTTCGGCACCGGGTGCAGCTCATAAAGCGTATGTGGCACAGGATGCTGCAGTGTACCGGTGATTTCAACCTGTGCGACTTCGAACAATCTGTCCGTCAAGCGAGACAAGTAGAAGCACGTCTCAGCCTCTGGTCTTCGAGAACTTAACTTTACTGTATTATTCCTGGTGAGTTTGATCATGCGTGTCTTGGGCACAGACCCTTTTGTTTGTTGGTCGGATGACAGCGCTCCACTGTGTTGGTGGCACAATGTTACATGCAAACATAATTCATATTAATTCATATCTTTGTCACGGGCCCTTTCCAAGATTCGTCAAAAACCACCGAGGACCGTGAGAGCCAAAAGCTTGGCGGTTCCACGCTCCGACCACATCAGCCTGCTGCACGCATTGCAAGCCAGCGCCCGCAAAGAGCTGCCGCCACGCAGCATCAGGCCGGATGTTCCGCATGTACCTGGTTGGCGTCAGACTCTGAGCATGCTTGCGGCAGACCGTCGAACGTTTTCATTGGTCTAATAGTGCAAACGAGAAGCACTTGTGGATCCTGACCAAAGGGACGGAAATGTTGCGCAGTAACCTGCCCGTCTCTATATCCAAATGGCAAATCATGCTGCATACATGTACACACTGTATTTCAATTTCTCACTTAAATTTCATCCTCACAAGGAAAACTGATACTGAACAAACTAACAGCTGTAAAAACAGGTCGGACCACAGTGGTTGAACTGCAGGCAACCTGCACAGCTAAGTTCAGCAGTCCCTTGCTCTTTGCTGACCGCGGTTGATCTTCAAGGACAAGCACCTAAGCCATAAGCCAGAAGTTGTGGCAACTCGTCTCAATCAACATTGGTGTGTGTGTGTCTCTCTCTCTCAACAGCAGTGACAGTTGAGCTTTCCGCCCCCGCGAGCGTGCCAGGTAGGAGTGAAACAATTCACGAAATGGGATGTTGCTCAAGGGCAGGGTGTATTTAAATAACGCTATATATATATATATATTAGATATAATACAAACCTCTGCTTGGAGCAAGTGCCCCATGTAGACAGCGGCGCGCCAGAACCAGTGAATTGTCGATCAGATGCATACAGTGCACTTTCTGTCCTTGCTCCTAGTAGCGATGCCAGGAGCCCCTAGTAGCGTCCTTGCTCCTAGTAGTAGGGCCAGGAGCCCCTAGTAGCTTTCCTCCCGCTTCGCCATGCGATTCAGACACCCGCTTTGCCACTCTTGCAGCTTCAGAGAGTGTTGTCTCCACGGAGTCGGCAATGTGATGCAACACGAAGAGCAAAAGGCAAGTGTCAAATGAGCCTTGGATGAGGTTGGATTGCATTATTGCATTATTGCATTATTGCATACCTGAGAAGGGGGGACGAAAGCCAGCTGCCGCTTCATTACGTGGGTCCCTGTATGCGGTACCTGTCTACACTCGAGTCCTCTATGCCCAGAGTCCAAATAGTCTTCAAAGCCCTTCATGATGCTAATGATGCACTACTCGGCGTCCATTACAGCACTCGCATCACCAGACCCCATTTTCACTGCTTTCCGGGCCCCATCTCTCGCTTTGGAGCGCTCTCCCCCACCAAGCTCTGGGTTCACCCTATCAAAAGGTTCCGCTCAGCGACCACCCCACCCCCACACCCTCTTAACTCACTTCGTTCGCCCTAAAAGCTCAAGCCTTACCTATCGGCTGGCTTTCGTAATAAACAGTGTGTTTATTTCTATGTTCTTTCTTTTAAAGGGATGGGGGTAGGCTGCTAGTAGAGGTGAGGCAGCTAGGTAGGTAGCTAGAAGCAAAAGGTAGCTAGTACCTTACTTAAGCTACTACCTACTGAACGCAGAAGCGCTCGCACTATTCATTTAGTTCCTACAGATATTTGGAATACATAATTGAAACACACATGCAACATAATGTCGATTTTTGACTAATAAACGGTCCAAACATAATGCACCTTTGGGCTTGTATAAAAACAACATCTACGCTTTCATATTTCCAAATAATATAACCCCTTCAAAAAGCAGTGTCTGTACTTTTGCTCCGGCATGATTTTGACTAATAACATCTTCTGCAATCATGTGTACGAGTTTCATTGTTCGTTTATTCTTGAATTCCCTAAGAGGGATGGCCTCCAACCTAAGAGCTATGAACCTAAGAGAGATGGCCTCCAACTCCTGTGTATCCTTATATCATTATTAAATTCCTATTGATTCCATTTAAACAAGAAGCTACTAGAGGCTCCTGGCATCGCTACTAGTGGCCTTCGGCCTTCTCCTATAGAGTTTAAAATCATCAAATGTCGAAGTATGTTTTTCGCTCAAAAAGTCCAGTCTCCAGAGTCTCCGTGTCAGGACGACCTGGTTTGTTGCCTGCTCCGAGTCACTGTCTTCATACGGCCATGGAGACACACCGTCATGAAAGGCGACACGGTCCTAGAAGAGAACGTAGAACCATGTAAAATGTACAGCTACTGATCAGTTACAAACTGTGCTTTCTTCTGCAAAGCAATGCCTTTGAATGTGACTGCAAAAGGTCTTTGGAGGCCATTGCTTCCAGGTTGGAAGGCCATCTCAATTAGGTAGGAGGCCATCGCTATTAGGTACGAGGCTAGTAGGTTGGAGGTCTTTACTATCTTCACTCCGCTCTGCTCCGCTCCTGGCCCAAGCGTTCCTTGGCAGACTGCGCCAAAGCAGCATCCACCTCCAGGAGGTGGACCTCACAACCATGTTGAGACCTGCAGCTCGACAAAATGCCAGACGCGCACAAACGTAAGTCCTCCCTTTCATGACCAGAAGGATTCAGAAGGAACACAAGGAGTTCATTTGCAGGCGATTTATATCTATTTATCAGTACCTTCAGGTGAACTCTTTGATTCATACGAGTGCAGTGTTGAAGCCTAAGGAAACACGGCATTTACTCTTTGAGGTGCCACAGTTTTGCGTGGCGGCGGCGGTACATGTTTTGTTGGATGTTGGACTTGGTGGTCACAGACAGCCATCGTTGGCTTGAGAATAAGAACGAGATATTCTAAGCAAATCCTGAATCAAAAGCTCTATATTAAGCTACTAGGAACAAGTGCATCGCTTCTAGTAACAAGTGCCTTACTAGTAGTAACAAGAAGCTAGTGGAAACACAAAACTCTTTCTGCACCTGTTCCTTCGAACATATGTAATGCCCTTTGTTGCTCGTAGCTTCTTGTTACTCCTGTTCCTTTGAACATATACTGTAAACATCTCTGATGCGAGCGACTATAATCGAGGTAACCTTGACGATGTCGGGTGATATTCGGGTAATGTTGACAAGTCACCACCACTCAGCCATGTGCCCATTACCGCCGCCAACGTCTAAAACTCGAGGACCGCCCCGGCCCAGCGCCACAAAGAGAGGTCGTGCATAGCGCTCGTGAGAGCGCTCCTCGTAAACCTGAGGAAGACGTCCAAAAACTGCCCTTGTTACTAGTAGCGATGCCAGGAGCCCCTAGTAGCTTCCTTGCTCCTAGTAGCGATGCCCTTTGTTACTAGTAGCTTCTAGCTACTAGATGCTACTAGTAGTAATGCACTTGCTACTAGTAGCGATGCACTTGCTACTGGCTTTGGGGTCATGCTTCCGGTGGAAAGGTACTGTCAAATGTAGTTTGTGGAGCATAGCAGAGGGTCGTTGATCATTGATCGACAGTGTAGTGCTACATAGCACGTTGATGCACATTGTATACGCAGAAGACCAATCAACAGAGTTCTTCTGGGACATTGGTGCTCGTGAAGGCATTTGCAGCTGCATCAGAGCCCACCTGTCTGCTTCAAACGTACCAAAACTCATGCTCTAAAATGTTCCACGTCGCACCAAAAAATTCGAGGTTCCCAAAAAAATTGTTTGCGTTGAACGCAATGCCCATAGGAAACTCTAGCAACCGTCACGAAGGGCAAGAGAAACTCCTGTACATTTTGACAAGTCTTTCAAAGAACGGAATCTTCTCTTTCATGGTGGCCCATAGGGGCCCATACATAAGATCATGGGATAGGGTCGTTTAATCATCCGTGCCATGTTAGCTTTGCTCAGCAAGCTCAGCTTTTGCAAGCAAGGGGTGTTCGATAGAACTGTTATGATCGTGGTGGTAGAAGTGCGCCGCAGAATGCCTCTCTGAATACAAAACAGACCCTGCAATTTGGGAGCCCTTGTGATGCACAGGGAGAGCCTTGCAAAGTGTTGAGTCCATGTATTTCAATATCCACTTCAGCCTGGCCTCTCGATGCAGGACTTGCTCCAAATGCATGGAAGTGATAGCCTCCAGAATTGCAAAATCCATCCATCCGTCTGACCTGTGGCATGCGTGCACTCAAATCAATTATCAACCAACCTGTCCTGCGACGGCCAATGACCTTTTTGACTGCACCTCAGCTCTACGTTACCTCCGTCTCAATTACCAGCAGCTTCTTGCTACTAGTAGTAATGGCTTCCAACCTACTAGCGATGGTCTCCAACCTAATAGCGATGGCCTCTAACCTGGAGCCCTTTGTTACATACCTTTGAAACCCAAACCTGTGACTTGCAACTGCCTGGCTGGCCTGTGTTGTCGACAGTCGCCCATACTGGTATCAAGAGACCAAACATGCGCATCAGTGGTTTGTTCCAGACCCTCATAAGACAGCATAGAACATGCATGAGACCTTTGCGAAGCTGCGTGCTAACAACCTCCTGTTCCCAACCGCTCCCAGTCTATTTGGCTGACTTTGCCTCTCTGTGATCAAGTTCACAGGAAAGGCCGTGACAAAGGCAACCTCCGTGTGATCAAGCTGCTGCTCGACCAGCACAAACCAACATGATCCAACATGTATAAACCAACTCGTGACAACATGGCTGACATAACAACAGAAAGAAAGGTATAAATAAAACAAACAAAACTCTACAGAAAAAAGATGAAAACAGCAGTCGGAGTGTGAAGAACAAAGAAAAAAGAAAGGTCAACCAAGTCTGCACACGTGCCCACAATGATTATGAACTTTGTATTCTTTGTACCATTACTAGTAGCGCTGGCCTCCAACCCAATAGCGATGGCCTCCACCTAGTAGCTTCTAGTTGCTAAGAAGCTTCAAAGACACAGTGACTCAAACAAACTTGAAGTTGGGAAGTTCAACAGCCGGGCAGCCAAAAACTCTCGGGGATCGCCTTCCACCCGCAGCCGCAAACGCCCATGGGGTCGTAAGAGCTGTAAGATGGCACCCAGCAACCGCAACAGCTCCTGCACCGGAAACCGAGCACCGCTTCCAGCACATCCAAAAAAGCACAGCAGCTGAAGTCACGTTCGTCAAGTGCAAATATGCCTCAATTCTGTTCAAGGGGCCCTTACCTTCGCTGCTTCGAACAGCTTGGAACGCTTAGAACGTGCTTCTCCCCAGAACAAAGAATCGATCATAGGTGCACATGGGTGAGGAAACGCCGATGCAGGTTGTAGCTGAAGGAATTTGCTCAGCTTGCCTCCACTTTCCCAAGACAATCCCAGCGAAAGGTGCTCAAGTCCATGACGAGGCCACGGGCAGCCTGGGGCTCAACTTACAGGCATCATGAGCCATCATGAGCTAGCAGGAATCTGATGGAATCTGTGCGTCTCAAGAACCTGCTTCTGAGTCGTCATTTGGGAATGTGTCCTAAATGATCCAGAATACGTGCTCCCGAAGTGTTCAATCCCCATCAAGTCTTTGGACTATGAACATGCTTCAGTGACTGTGGTGAATTCCTCATCTGCACTTCAACATCTTCCATCTTCACCTCTTGAAGCGCACCAATATGCACCTTTACTTGCACCTCTATTGGAGGCCATTGCTATTAGGTTGGAGGCCATCTATTAATAGACTTCAGCAATACTACAGCCTGTGGCACAATGGGTCCCTCTCCTTTGATGTGCTCACATTTGTGAGTTTTCCTCATCGAGGCCCAGGCTAGCTCACCAGCATCAATGATGAGATCATAGGTCATTTGAGTCCTCTGGCACCTGGCTGATGGGCATAGGACTAGGAGTACCAACACCTTCTAGGGTGTTTTGTGTCGCTGTTCCTGTCATTGGTGGGTGACAACGTCATAGTAGAGCACTTCTCCGCTACAAGAGCCATCTGATTGCGTGACACAATTGCTGACCTTCCTGCGAAACTTTACTGATTCACTTGTGTCTTGTGGCCGTCTAATCAGCTGCAGATTTGGTTTCCTGAGGAAAGGTCCCCTTCTTCATCTGCAAAGCAACAAGGCCGGGAGAACCTTGGACGGTACCAATGATTGGCCTTTCCTTCAACAACGCCGTCCGGGCATCCTTGGAGACGGATTCCAAGAGATATCTGAAAGCATTGCTACCGGTTTGGACGTTGAAAGCTAGACAATAGTTATGGCGACTACGAAGATTCCAAGCAATACAATAGGTACTGTACAGTACAAGAAGGTTTTGCCAGTCCCAATGACAGTGTGGGGAGCACACTGAGCATCTTTCCGCTTCTTTGCTTCCGAGTGAGGCTATAATGCCATGCGCCGGATTGACAAAACATTACTATGCAAATGGCCGGGGGGCCCACAATGGGCAAATCGCCCTCGACACTAGTGGTTCAAGTGGTCCTGGGCCTTGAGGTCAATTTTGAACTTAACATGTTTGAATGAAAAACGACAAAAGACTTACTAAATATGAGAAGCATGAAACAATTTCAACCTCATGACCTCGGCCCTGAAAACTGTGGAATGCTTCGATTCCTCCAGCAGATTCCGAAGCTCCTGACGGCTTGTAGGCCAGGAGAACTTCAGAATCCGCAAGCTTTACGGCTGAAGCAGCAAAAGCAGTATGGCTTTAATGTCAAAACCAACCCTTGTAGGATCTTGTAGGGTTTGCAGATTCACTTGCTACATGCACATCTGTTGTGTGATAATTACACCTAAGTTGTGCCCGAGAAACTTACTAATCCGAGCTTGGTCGTCTTCGGGTGGCCTTTAAGCCAACATGACCGAGATGTTCGTTACATTTAGTTCCTATAATAGACTAGAGATGCTATGGATCAGCCGCCAAGCAGTTCAATCTGTACTCCCCTTCCGCTTGCAAGCGAAACATTGCCTGCCACGCAAAAATGCTTCAAGGTAGAAGCCTTGGGTCGGGAAGGCATTGAACAATACGGCATTTGGTAGAAGGCTTTGGCATCACTGTTTGCACAAGCAACTCTGAACTTGAACTCTCACATGAGGCCGTCGCGGCATGGCGCTTTACATGCAAATACTCACGCGGCGCATTGACGGGTCCTGGCAGGTCTGTCGTGCAACAGTTGTTCTGAAACTGTTTCAACGGTTTGTCACACATCAAAACAAATCCGTTTGCGAGGGAACCAGAAACCAAGGCCTGCAAGTGCCTTACAAAGCAGCCAAAAATATCATCGCTGCAGCCACTGCAGTGGCGTATGAAGCTGCACCGCTAATCTTGGTTCCACAATCTTCCACAGAATTGGTACTAGGAGCAAGGACGCTACTAGGAGCTCCTGGCATCGCTACTAGGAGCAAGGACGCTACTAGGGGCTCCTGGCATCGCTACTAGGAGCAAGGACGCTAAATGTATGAAACATGCTTTGGTCTGAGGATGCCGTTACCGGGTTAGAAGGGAGGGTGTCGGCTGGCGGGTGTTGCGTGGGTTGGTAAAAGCTACCAGTTGCTCACTTTGCTGACACTTCGTTCGGTGTCATGCATTGTCTTACTGTGAGCACGATTCAGGTCGACGTTCCCACTGAGATTTGACCCTCACCCCTGCAAATAATCACAGGGTCACCCGGGCACCCGATGACGTTGTGAAACCAACTTAATTGATGAACAAAACCGTTGACCATGTTATGAACAACGATCATGTTATGCCAACCGATGAGAATATTATGAAAACCAACGATAATGTTCGGTTAAAACAGGAAGTTCTCAGGCCGCAAATGCAACGCCTTGCCCAGAACAACAGGGACACATAGAACCAGGACCGCAAGTAGTTAAACCAC